CACAGGAATGTCTGAACGGGGCACTTGCTGCTGGTTCACCTGGGAACAACCAAACTGGAGCCCTGGTAGAGAGCACTTTACAGCTTGACTAGAGGTCTTCCCAGGGAAAAGAGCTGAAAACATCTTTAAATACTCTATCTGTTAAGAAATAGTGCTTTTTTTATGGGTCTGAATGAAAAGATGAAGACGGGAGATCTGATGGGAGATGCAGGCACTGCTGTGAGATCCTTATGTTTAGCAAATTTCTATTTTTCATATCAGAGTTTTTGAGTAATTTTATATTGTCTCTTTTTTTTTTATCTTTCCTCAGAAATGTTACCCCTTTGCATTCCAACGCTACCGCCTGGAACACTACACAGTCTCCTCCAACTGGCTGGCTCTGGGGACTGTCTTTCTCTTTGGCCTTTTGTCACTGTCACGCTCTGTTGCCTTATTCAGAGGTCAGTATTTTAGACTTGTGCTATGTCATTATTTTTTTTTCTTTGTTTTGGTTGATGGTAACCATTGACAGTCAGGACAGGAGAATGTGAATAAAGGTGCTAGGGTACAAGGACTTCTAAAAGGAGGGGGAGCTTTGGAATCCAGACACTTTATAGCATAGACCAATCAATTTATTCAAGAAGTTATCAGTTAAAAAGTTACGTATGAACAATTTTTTGTAGGCTTTCCAAAGTAGTAATGTAAATATCACCTATTTCTTTAGCCTTATTCACAACTTTTTGCCTTCTCTAGGCTACCATGGGCCCCTGGACCTGTACCCAGAATTTCACAGGATTGCTACTGACCCAAGTATTCATACTGTGCCAGAGGGGAGACCGGTTAATGTCTGTGTGGGAAAGGAGTGGCACAGATTTCCAAGCAGCTTTCTCCTGCCAGAGAAGTAAGTTGTTTAATGTAAAAGGTCCAATTTAGTGAGATTCCTAAGGAGAGGCTTTTCTCCCAAGTAGTGTCTATAGGAGTAACCTTCAAGACCTTGTTATCTCTGACACAAGTATATCCAAAACAAAGGACTCTGAAGTTATTTGTCAGCAGTTTGTTGGCCACAAGCTACTGAAATTTTGTAGTGTGACTGCTCCTCTAGCAGGGCTGTCTGCCCTCAGAAATGAAATGTCCTTGGTTATGCTTTTGGTTTACTCCATACAAAGTAAATGTTACTAGCTCCTGTATTTTCCTCTTGGGCTTTCTGACACTGTTCTCTGCAGTTGGCAGCTCCAGTTCATCCTGTCAGAATTCAGGGGCCAGTTACCAAAACCATTTGCCAAGGGACCAATGGCCACACGGATCATTCCCACTGACATGAACGACCAAAACAAGGAAGAGCCATCTCGATATGTAAGGATCATATTCCTCTCTTTTTTTCCTTACCTTAGTGTATAATGTGTATTAATGTAGTGTCTATGATTGGAACTCCCCATTTTGTTTCCTGGGGACTGTACAAGTTACAGAGCAAAAACAGACTCTTTACAGCACTTGGAAATTTCCCCATTTATGTCAGTGGTTTCTGTTTGTATTTCACCTGCCTATTTTTCATTTAAAAACATAATAATTAAAAAAAAGAAGCGGAAGAAGTAATATTATTTCACAGTTACTGCAATTTTGAGTTTAGTGAAGTGTGTTAGTGTGATCCTGGTGAAGTGAACTGAATGAGTAGTTTGAAATCACCCGAAGAAAACGTTTGTCACTGAGCAGGAGCTGAAATTATCTTTTGTACTTTCCCTTTTTTTTTTTAAAAAAAATATAAATGTATTCATCATATTTGCAACTGAGAAGGAGGAACTTAATTTGGAACTTCACTGAAACAATTGCATCAGTGATTTCAGTGGGGATAATGTATACTGGCACAATTAATTTGCTGTTTTTCCTGGTTGTATTGTGTTACCTAAACGAAAACAGTACACACATGAATGTTTTAAAATTGTTAGCTAACTTCTTTGACACTATTTAGCAGGCTAAATCTTAGCAGTGGACTGAATAATCTTTGCAGTGTGGTGGACATTTAGTAGTCCTTTCTTTTTTGTCCCAAGGGTTGAATGAGGGCAACTGCCAAGAAATGTGTAGTCCTTTCTTCGTTCTCTCTTAGCACCTTGGAGGATAGCTTCACTGTGTTCATCAGTATATGGGAAGTATATGGTCACATGTAGTGGACCAGGTCTAGCTTACACGAGTGGGTCTCTCATGACTGAAGATAGTAGACATATACTTGTTTATGTGGCTCATGACTTTGGCATGTTAAACATCAGACAAGCGCTTGTGATCTGCTTATAGAAGTGGATGGAAGTCAGTCCAGGAGCACACTGTGTGGGTAAAAGCAGGAATCAATCTTCTAGGTTAAAGCTCACTTATTTTGAGCCTCATTATGTAGTTTCTGGAAATGGGAAGGAGGCGTGTTGCCACCTGAGAGAAGCTGTCTGCTGCAGTGCCTTTAATTTACAAAATCTTTAACTGTGGCTTATTTTTAGCACCGACAGCTGGCTGGTGCACAGCCTGTGACTAATGGAGCCAAACACACTTTTATTTCATGGTTGTTTCTTAATGTTGCCCTACCATTTTGTTATTTCTCAAGCAAGCAAAAGGGCCCAGGACATGAGAAATAAACTACTAAATGTGAATTTTTAAATGGGGTTTTAAAACTTTTACTTCTGACCTGATAAAAACACCAAGAGAAAAAGATCTTTTCTCAAGTTTAGTGAGCTTATGCATGCAAGCCTACCTAGATTTAAAAAGTTAGCAAGCACTGGAGAGGACTATCATAGCAAATACATCTAAATAGCATGAGTCTGGTCATTTAGAAGGGAGAAAACATGTGGTTCAAAAGGATTATCTGAGCCATTTGTTATTTTTCCTAAATTCCCATGTTAAGTCTCTTTCCTTTCTCCCTTGTACCCCACCTGGGTGAAACATCTGCACAACTAATGGGACTCACGTTACAATTTCCAGATCTTTACCTGTCAGAAGTTATGCCCTGTCTTCTTTTCCACTCAACCTGGGGAAAGACTCTGGTGATGTAATTTCTTTTTATATCCAAATACATGTATTCTGGTTCCCTGATGTCTCCCTCAACTCAAAATATCTAGATTATTGTTGGAAACAACCAGTAATTACTACTATGTGCTGTACCCCACTCCTCTGAGGAGTGGGGAGAAGAGGGTGGGAGGTGGGAGCTGTTAGCCAGGAAGGACACAGGATATTTGTGTCAGTGAATAGTACAGCCTGTTTGTATCCAAGAGCTCTCTCCCCAGCAGGAAGGAGAAGCTTGCATAACACAGGTCTCCTGAGGACATTGCCCACAGCTCATTTAACTGGGAGGTCACACACATAATTCATTTCTGTGATGATGCTTCCTCGAGTGCATTTTCATAATTTGACAGGGTGTTGCCCAACGTTTTGGTCAGGACAGAGCCGTTACTTGCGTCACAGGCAGCTGATAAAGGCATGACTGTGCTGATACCAAGTCCACGTGGTCCGAGAGGTGCGATGTGATGTCCATCTGCTGCAAGTGAGGCAGTGAGGGTCATCACTGCTACAGGACAGGTTATTCATGCACAAACCCCACCATAATTTGTGCCAGACAAGAAGCTTACTCTGCTGGAACTACTTTCTGTTTTTCCCAATTCTGCTCAAGCCCTGTCATGAGATGACAAGACAGGTACTATGAGGCTTTCAGACTTAACAGGTTGCAGAGCTTGTGTGATCCTTGTGGGTAGCTCTTATTGGTCTGTATGTGTTTTGAGCCAAATGTGCTAGAATTGTTTGCAACTCTTAATTGTAAAAGCACTTTCCAAAGAAGGCATGAAAAACTAGGTGAGTGAGGGGATTTCTTTTGCAGAAAGCTGTCAGATACAGTCTCTTACAGGAGGATAAATGGGGGAGTGTGAGGCTCTGGCTCCCCTCAGCCTGATCTAGCATGTACTTTGTTGTCTTTCTTGGGCAGTGTGTCAAGCCTTTATTGTCTGAACTTGATTGTACATTCTTTAGGGCCAGAACAGTGGGAGAAAGTACATAAATAGAATTCAAAGTGATTTTGACAAATTGGAGAAAAGATCTGGGGGGGGCGGGGGGGAAGAAGGAATGAAATTAAGTATGGACAGTGCACTAGACAGAAATAATTAGGTGAATACATGTAGGTATTAACCTAAGACCAGCCAGTTATGTACAAGTCCTTCAGGAAAGCATCCAAGCATGCAGCAAATCACTGGATGAATACAATTTGGTAATGCCATGCTGCTGTATAAAGGGATGGGCCATGCAGAGGGTTATATGCCCAGGAGCATGTTGCACAACAAGTTCTTCATTAAAGTGCTACTTCCTGATCTGGGCACTGCATTCAGGATAGATGTGACTAATTGAAGACCCACAAGAATGATCACAGGGGTAGAAAACATTACTGTAGAGTAAAATAGCATTGTAGAGAAGACAACAGCCGTCTTCAGATAACACAACTCTCTCTCTCTATATATATATATAAAAACAATCACAAAGGAAATTGTTTTCCTTGTTCATGATATAAAACAAGTAGGAACAGGCATGAACTGAGACTGAAAAAGATTCAGTGTAGATGTCAGGAAGCCTTTCTAACAATATAGTGAAGTGTTTTGCGTGGGGAGCCTGTGAAGTCAGCATTTTAAGAAGTCTTTAATAGCTAGTTAGACAGCCACCAGGAAAAACATCAATGGACTTGGTTCTGCTGCCTCAAATTCCCCTCTGTGGCTTGACAGTTCCTTAGTAAGAGCTGGTAGTGCTACTTCCTCAGAGAAGGACCCCAGGACTCTCCTCCTATAACCAGAGCAGTAGTGGTAGCTTGTATTCCCCCATAAGGTTTTACTTGAAAACATTCAAAATATTTTACTATGTGTCCTACATGAAGCATTTCACCTGTTGCTAGAAATGTAACCCTCTTCTCATTGATAATAGCAGCCTGTATAAATGAACACATACAACCAGAAGCCTACAGGGAATAAACCACAAAAATGTCTGTTTTTCTGCAGATTGACATTTCCAAATGCCACTATCTGGTAGACTTGGATACAGCAGCTGAAACCCCAAGGGAGCCAAGGTATTCTTCCAACAAAGAAGAGTGGATAACCATTGCCTACAAGCCATTTCTAGATGCTTCCAGGTATGCTTGACCCATTTGAGAGCAATGTCTTTGTGAACTAATTCTGTTCAATTATCAACTTGCAAATGTAGCTATATACGGGGAGGAAACGTACGTTGGTAAATGCCAGCTTGAAATCCATTTGCCAGTAAAGGCAGCTTGCTGGCTGCAGTGGAACCTTTGTCAAACTTGTACTTGCAATATTTATGACCTAGGTTGGTTTAGAGGGTGAAGCTAGCTGAGAAGGGTGGTGAAAAGGATTATCCTTAAAAAAAAATCCTCCCTGTGCATTTCTCTCTTGAAGTAATGTTTTTTGGTTTGTTTTCTAAAGAAATGAGCTGTATGCCACTTCCTCCCAACAGACTTTTGAATCTTCTGTCTTGTTTCAGCCAAATTCAAGACAGGTGTAAAGTCAGTCTCAAAGAGCATGATTTCTTACAAATTTTATGAAAGCTAGCAGACAGAAGGAGGATACGGTCTCATTCAGTGAAAAGTCATCAAGGTAACACCTTTATTAGGCTTTAGAGAAATCATTGAAGAGACCTCTGTTAGAATCCATTCTTCATTAGTTCTGCTGCTCACTGAACAGCTTGCTTGTGTGTCTGAATAGGAATTTCTGTGAGAAGCAGAGACTGAAATTGCTCTCTTCCAGGATAATGGGGTGGAATTGGAGTTGTCAGACTGGGAATGTTGTTAATATATTCCTGCAAATATAGAAACCCTTATCTGTAAGGGGATGGTTATTTATTAATTTAAAGCACTGGTCATGTAGCTGTCATAACAGGACAGAGAGGCTTGACTGGAAAAATCTCTGTAAAAAAAACTAACACAGAGTTCAGTGCTCTCCTATTTTCTATGTGAGACCTTATTACTTCCTAGTAATAGGACTCTCCAGGGAGGGGGACTGGTAAATGCAGTTGAACAGTGAGAAAGAGTGATAATATTAGAGCAACTCCCAGGAGTGCTCTAATATTCCCAGCTTGCTGACACAAGTTTTCTTGGCAAGGTTTTTCACCAACTATGTTTTCCAAGAGACCTGCTGTTACATTCAGGTAAGACTTTAGGGAGAATGAGAAGGCCAATGACTCTTATTAATGAGGCAGTACAAGCATCTGCATAAGAGTTTTGCAAAGATTTCTGTGTGTGGTCCTTCATGTCTGACTTGTGAAGGGAGAGTGCATTTGACAGTTACTACTGGAAGTAAGGACTTGGCTTGTTGTAGCAACAGTAGCATCTCACCATGGAGCAGCAGCTTGTTGTGAGAAGCTGGGAGTCACAGATAGATCCTGAAACTTCAGAGCATCCTGACCCTGGTAACTGTGAGATGTAAAGGCAGCATACTGAGGGTGGGGAAAGGGGAGCATACTCTCTGGCTAGGCAATCACTGAGACCTTAGCATAGATCATCTAAAGGTGGTGGGGAGGGAAGGGGATCTTTCTGGCTGCTGTGTCCTCCTTAACAAAAGATGCTGCTGCATGAATGGGAGACTGGAATAGAAGGGGGTTTGCAGAGCATGTCCCAAGAGGAGATTGGGCAGTCAGATCCTTATCCCTGCTGGTGTTGCCTGTCAGCCTCCTCCACTCCTGTTCTTGTGCTGCATGAAAATTCTCCATGCTGTTCTTTATCAACAACCTCACAGCTGGAGCTGAGGGGAGGTGTGCTGCCTTTGCCAGTGGAGGAGGCCAGGTTGCCATAGCAGCAGGTCTGATTTCCATCCCTGCTGTTAGTACCTCCAGAGCTCCTGCAGTTTGGAGTTCTGGGCTCTGTCCCTTCAGCAGTTGGCAGGTAGGGCAGCTTGAGTGCACAGTGCTGGTGAAGGACTAGAAGGGCCTGTGCTTAGCTGAGGGGTATCAGTGATGCTGAGGTATGAGAGAACCAGCACTGTCTCTCCATCTTGTCACCCTGCTTGTCTGATAGATTCTTTCTTCCTCCTGAGGAAGAACAGTAAGCCAGGAATTGTGGCCTGCCTAGCAGGGCAAATGTGTAAGAGTGGGCACAGCTTCCCAAGACAACTCATGGTACAGTGAAGAGCAGAAAGAACAAACCATGCAAGGTCTGATCTGCCCTATTTTTAGCCAGTGTGTCATTTAAAGATATCACATTTAAAACTGGGTACTGCAGACAAGGTCGAGGCCCCTTTTGCCAGCCCATCCACAACAGCATGAGCAAGAGAAATTTCAGAAAGGCTCTTTTTGGATTGCCTGCTTCATGATTTTTGTTGCATATTTTAAATTTCTTCCTGTAATTTGGCCCTTGGAGAAGAGGTAGGGTGGATGAGTGATTAAGGGGCTCAGCTGGAACTTAGTGCTCCCATGACTATGTCCAGGTCTCTTAAACCTTCCCTGTGTTGTAATTTCTCATTTGGACCAAAGTTTGTTAGCTCTCCACTTATCTCCAGGGGTTTGTTGACAATGAATGAGGGAGGATCTTCAACTTCATAATAGTGATGGAAGGTAAATACTTCTGCATAGTTTTGCATCCAAGTACTGGAATTTTGCTGCAACCACCATATAAAAGTTCCCCATGGCAAATGTTCATAATTGGTCTGAGTTTCTTGCTCTGAATGTCCCGTGGCATTTTTCTAAAACAAGACAGTGTTGTTTGCTTTGTTTTTTTTAACCTGAGTGTGACTGAGTTGTCACCCATATAAAATAATGGGGTTCAAGCAATTCTCAAAAGGGGAGATCACACAAGTTTTGTGGTAGATTGGCAGCTGGCAGATAAGTTAGCTAGGGGCAATTGCACATCTGCCTAGCAATTAGATGAGATGTGAGGGTCTGTCTCAATTTGCAGACCCAGGTGTTAGCTATTGTCCTTGAGATTGGAAAACCTCATTCGCAAAGCAAGTACTACTGGTGCATCTTTCTGCCTGTGGCTGCAGCAGCCTCCCTTGCTACTATTCAGCCCTTGCTTTGCTTGCTTCTGTCCTCATCCCAGTCCTTGGAGTACCATGCTTGCTAGAATGGACACTGCAGAGCCTCGGAGGAAGGACACTGAGAGTTGCCACTCCATCCATCTGGAAGGTTCTCTGAGGGCATCAGTGATGTCCTGAGGCTGTTTCAGGGATGCGACAAGTATTTCTATACAACTTCTATACAGAAAGTTGTTGGCAGGCCTGATAGATGTTGGCAGGCCACCAGGATGATCCGAGGGCTGGAGCCCCTCTCCTATGAAGACAGGCTGAAAGAGTTGGGGCTGTTCAGCCTGAAAAAGAGAAGGCTCCGGGGAGATCTTATAGCGGCCTCCCAGTACCTGAAGGGGCTACAAGAAAGCTGGGGAAGGACTTTTCATAAGGGCAACTAATGACCAGACAAGGGGAAATGGGTTTAAACTGAAAGAGGGGAGGTTTAGATGAGATATTAGGAAGAAGTTCTTCACTGTGAGGGTGGTCAGACACTGGAACAGGTTGCCCAAGGAAGTTGTGGCTGCTCCTCCCTGGAAGTGTTGAAGGCCAGGCTGGATGAGGCTTTGAGCAACCTGGTCTAGTGGAAGGTGTCCCTGCTGATGGCAGGGGGGTTGGAACTGGATGATCTTTAAGGTCCCTTCCAACCCAAACCATTCTATGATTCTATGATACTGGAGAAGGTATGGAAATCTCAGCAAAAATGCTTCTGTGGTTTTTTGCTGCGTTTTATTTTGAGACAAATCTAGGCAGTGCTGTCTGTCTTAGAGGTGAGAAGTTGATCATTCCGGGGACTTGAGCTGCAAGAGAGCAGCACTAACAGTTGTAATAGCATCTTAGGTGCTAGAAATTGGTAAGCTGAAAGGATCCCAGAGCTAGTAGATCTGTGGGGAGAGCCCTTCCCAGGGTCAGACATACAGGTCTGTGGGTAGTCGGTGAAGATGCATCAAGAACTCCTGTAATGATCCAGGCTGCTTGTGTTTCTGAGCATGTACCTTCCCCCTGCCCCAGCTCAGCAGAATGACGTATCTCTCAAATCTGGCACCTGCTTCCACACAATGATTTGGAAATGTCCCCTGCTACCTATGAAGTAAGTGTAAAAACACTATGAAAATGTAGCTTTTTTCTTTTTTTATAAAAGGGAAGGAGGAACAGAAGAAGTGTCACTTTGAACTGAGCTGTGAGGGAAGCTGCCAGAGTAGATTTCAGGTCTGCAGCTCAGTGACTGCAAAGCAAGGAGCACCTGGGGGGGTTGGGAGGGAAATCATGAGACACATCTCCACCCAAAACCAAACCCCAGCTCTTGTTCTTTGAAAATAAATGACCCCAGCAGTTCAATTCATTCCTCCTGAACTGGAGGCTTCTGGGACTCACTGCGAGTCTCACATTGACGTCAGCAAGTGCAAATGTAAATCTCAGCTGGCTCTGATAAATGGTGCTGCTAATTGAATTAGAGAGCACTCTAAGCCACCAGCTAATTATGCTCCTCAGGAAGCTGCTTTGTCCAGGTCCATTTAATTCTATATTGGCTGAGCACTCTGAATCTGGCACAGAAATGGGGAAATATATTACAGCTCCCCACTGAGGAGCACATATTTTCCAGCTCTTTAGGCTGAGCTGTCTGCTTGCTCCAAACGCTCGGGTTTTCCATCCAAAAAAAATATTCTTAGTGTAAAATTAATGATTTGGTCACCTTGTTCTAGCATATCATTATGCTAGCTTGGTAAGAGACTGCCTCATTCCTGTTAATGGTGCTTTCCTCCATGTTACATGAAATGTTTTTCCTACTTTTGTTTTACAAGTAGCTAAATTAATTCTTAGGTGCGTGGTTGGTACAAATTTTAACACCTTGAAGAAGTGTAAACATTAATGAGTTTTCAGAGCGCTTCAATCATGAGCTTCCTGTGTATGCCCATAGCTAGAAGATACTAGGTCCTGCCCATGTGGCAGAGATTCAACTTCTTGCCTCTTCTTTCTGCCATTCCCTTCTCTTCTTCCTTCTCATGCTTCTTTCTGAATTCTTCTATCACTGGGGTAAGAAGATTGGGTTACAAGATGCAGTTAGGCAGAATCTCCCACCACTACATGTATCTAACTGCTTCTATTCCATGTCAGTCTATGAGATTGGGAGGGGAGACTTGAACATCTTCACTTAGCAGTCCTTGCTTCTGTTCCAAAAGAGCCTCATTTGGCATTAGTAGAACAGGACTGTTGAGCTGCTTTCTCCTGAAGTTCGATGGGTAATTTAGAGATACACATAGCACCAAATGGCACTGTGGTTCCAGCCCTGCTGGCCTACTGGTAACTATGCACCTCTCCCCTAACTGGGAGCTGCTCTGGGTGCTGCAGCAGTCACTCCACAAGAAACCAAAAAAACTGGAAAAGAGTTCAGACCCCCTCTGGAATGTGGGATACCTCCCATGTTGAGCACAGCAAGAGCTCCAGCCTGGAGCCCACCACTGAAAGAGCCTTGTGGCATCAGTGTGCCAGTAGCATTGCACTAGACCCTTGGCTGCCCAGCTTGGAGTGATTGTGGCCTTGATCTTGCTACCAACACCCTGCTTGTGAGCTCTGTGCTGCTTATGACAACACACACTTACAGTCTCCGAGGGACAAATTTAGAAACAAATGCAAATAGAACATTATAGATATTCACTGTCATCCCAACCCCTTCCATGCACCATCTGTTGTCTGAGGTTGCTGAGCCTGAGGAAGCGAGGTTACAGGAGGTAAAGGTTCCCTGTCTGAATTTAAAGCTCTTAACATGACTTATTGAGCTATAGGTGTATCAACTGCCGTGGTTCTCGCAGGCATCTGGGCCTTTGCTACTGCGGAGTTACGAGTAGCAGAGAGAGCAGCCTTGTGCTTGTATGTAGTCTGAGTCTCTTCTCAGTGAGGAATTTTTTTTTTCAGCTGAAAAAATACAAAGGCTGACCTTATAGCTGTGGAGCAGATATGTTGGTGCTACCATTTACCATGCCATAATCAGGGTTTCAGGGTTTTATATCCGAGATGTGATTCTCTGAGCACATAAACACTATTTTTAAGATGCCTCTTTTATCATCTTTTGCCTTTTTCTAACTTGTGTCATTAGACTGGGTAATTGCAACCAACGTAAACTGTTCCCTTTGCACTATTTTAAGTCTTGTTAGTGAAGTGTCATTTTGCTATGGCACCAGCAGCCTGACTAGCTAATACCTGGTGGAAACCAAAGACTCCTTGGGGACTTGATGGCTTGCGTAATACATCATTTCACCTGGAAGAGCAGGGTGAACTTCGCTTTTGGGATCTCCTCTGGCTAAATGAGATTTATAGCTCACCATTCTTGCAGCATATACTTCTTGTTTTGGGGGAGGAGTACAGGAATATACAGTCGTGGCCTTTATACACCAATTCACTGTATTGTTATTTGTCACGAGCACCTTGACACTGTGTATGACATCCACTGGTGGGAAGGGCAGCTGTCTTTCTGCTTTGTGTTCCTTGTCGTTTTCTACCCTCAGTATTTTTTTTTCCCATCAATCCTCTCCTCTCCTGCCTCTCCTTTTTTGATCTTCTTTTTACCAACAGTATTTTCTCCTCCCATTTCACTGCTGATATAAACTGTGAAGCAGTGAACACTGACATTAAATTGCTGCTAATAAGGGCTGAGTTGCCAGCGAAGTTAAGAGCATGTGAAGAGCTTTCGTTGCTCGGAATTGTTTCAGGCTGTGTGCAAAGTCAGGATGGTTACACTAAGGTGGTTTATTTGGGAGGAGATTTTTGCTATTACCAGCTCCTGGAATATCTTTCTTTTTCTAGAAAGCAATGCTGAATCCTTCACATATGCTATAAAGACCATGTGAGCACAACCGTATGAGCTGCCTTGGACCTACTTTTCAGAATACCAACAAGTAAAAGGGATAGGGAGTGTTTCTCACGACAGGTATAAAGAAGGAAGAGGAAGTACAGATAGGATAGTAGTGTTTCTGCAGAGCTGTGAGAGGCACCAGCACCGAGGATAAACACAAGTGCTTAGTTCTGTTGCTTCAGCAATCAGACCCACCATTGCTGGATGTCCACCGCGTCGTACGGTGCTGGCCTGGGCAGGCTGTTGGTGTGTAGATAAATCCAGGTCAAGGGGAGGATGTGAACTGGGTGCTGTTGTCTGACTGCTGTCAGCTCTACAGCTGAACTGAGTGACTGAAAGCACTTTCAGTGCTACAGCCTGTATATTTGGGACCTCAGCCATCTGCTGAAGGTGCTGCCTTCCTCTCAGTCCCTGAGCTAAACTGCACATGGCTAATTCAACAAATTACTTCATCCTAACCCAAGCACACACCCTGAGCTCTGGGGAATTGTGCTGGTTTCTGTCCCTTTCTTACAATGTAGCAGCAAGCTGGTACTCTACCTTATTTTTAATTTTCCTTTTCCTGCAGCATCACAAGCAGCTTGAACACACTTGCACTGGTTTCTGTCCCTTTCTTAAAATGTAGCAGCAAGCTGGTACTCTACCTTTTTTTTAATTTTCCTTGGTTTATGCAGCATCACAAGCAGCTTGAACACACTTGCTTTTTCTTGTTTTTATTTCCTTTTTTTTATTTTCTTCCTTTGCTAAAGGGAATTGCAGTGAAACCACACCATTCACAGAGGGCAGTTATGGCAGCAATGGTGGGTTGTCAGGCTTAGAGGAAGAGATGCCAGAATAAGTTCAGCAATGACATGATGTTCATTAGCTATAAGGGATGGAGGAGGAAAATCAAGCACTTGTTTTCAAATGGATGCCTTTGCTTCTAGTGACTAGAGGGAGGGCTGACCTCAAATTTCCAGGCGCAAGGAAATGACAGCTGCAAAAAAATGTTCCTTGTTCAGAGTATGCCAATATTACCATCTTCTGCCTAGTTATTTGCTACTTAAGAGATTCTGCTTTGAACATGTTCCCGATGCCAGCACCTCAGGAATTCACAAAGAGCAACCATTTCCAGTGATTCTTTTATTTAGAAACTTTGCTGCGTGCTTTATAATTTGTAAAGGCCTAAGTATTATCACTGAGCTTTTTGTTCTTTGAAGTGAAGCAATCAGCATTTTTATATCCTAAAGCACAAGCTGAGCACTTGGCAAAAAGCAGGCTTACAAGATGCTGGCTGTTGAAAGGAGGGAGTTTCACATTTAGAAGTGGGACTTGTAAATTTTAGGAATTCAGACTTGTTTAGTCTTTCTGAGGGTAAACAATACTTTCTGCCTCAGTTTCCCCTCTCCAATGTGGGAAGAAGGGAAGAGTACTGCTTTGTCTGTCCCTTTTTCTGTCTAAAGAAGGAACAGTTCAACTGAAAAATACCTTGCTTTCTGCTTGTATGGGATTTTATGCCACAGAACCCTTGTCTGAGTGGTGCTATGCCAATGCAGGTAGATAGCACCAGTCTTTTCCTGGATGGTCTTTTACTCCAAGTTGCAGGACATCAGGAGCTGCTCGTTCTCACATGAATTACAGTAAGGCTAAGAACCCTGGGAGCCTCTGGGGAGATGCAGTTCACAGTGGCAGTTCCTGCCATTGTTTTTTAGACTGCGTCTTTGAAAGATATCCACTGCTGCCTTACAATGAGCAAACAAAACACAATTCATCTTTCTTCTGAAAAAAGTGACTTGAATTAGATGTCCAGAACCTTGGCTGTGTTACCAGCAAAGCTGTGTGAATCGCAGTGACTAGCAAGTACATGCTGGATCTGTGTACCATCCCTCACCACTTAGCATGCTGCAAATCCAATTTGAGTTCCTGCTGCTGCTTTTCCAAGCTTTATGTGGATGGGGTTAGACTTGTGTCTGTCAAGGCTTGATGGTTACCAACAAGTTGGTCTTAGAGATAAGCTTCAATTCTGAGGAAACAAGATGCTGCCCCAGCCTTGATTTCAATAAGTTGCTCAAATTTCTGAAGCTTCTAGCAAGGTTTGGAGCTGCTGCTGCAGGATATTGTATTTGGCTGCTTCACATTTAAACCTGTATTTTACTATTAGTTTGCTCTAGTAAGAGAATGCATGCATTCAAAAAGTACTCGGCTAGCACAGCTCTGGCAATTAGCAACCAAACAAAAGGTACTGATTTGATGCAGCCATTAAGCCCTCCATGCTGGAGTACTCTATTGGTCTAATTGTTGCAAAGTGCCGTGAAATGCCAGCTCCCAGCACTAGCTGGGCATGGAGTGAATGTTGACAGCCTGCAGCAAGCTACCTTGTAGGCTTTAGAGCGGTCCCATTCCTCTTTAATTCAATATCCTCAACAGAACATCAGCACAAAATCAGAACTTCAAAATGACAGTGCTCATCAGAGCTTTGCTCTGCCCTTCAGACACGTGTGGAGGAAGAGGCAGACAGAAAGATTGCATAGGAAAGAGGAAAGGCCAGGAGCTAAATGCAGCCTTGCTATCTTTCACCTTCTTAGCATGTGCCCTGAGGAATGGGAGGCCAGCCTGCCTGTCTGTATGGTACCGAAGGCCCACAGGGCTGTACTGTCTGCTTTTTGGACAGGGATTATCTGGGATCTAAGCTTCTTTTGATAATTGCAACACCTTCCTGCTTTCTCTCCCCCTTAATCCTGCTGGAATGGATAGTGGGCATGCTGAAGAACTGGGCAGGCCACTGCTCTTAGGCTGGTGATGCACAAACCAGCTTTGGTCCCACCCACAAGGAGAAGATGGGACTGGGCTTCGTATGCCTGGACCATTGGCATTCCTCATGTCACTGACTCACCAGCCCAAATCTTTTGCAAAGCCTCATCTGTATCGTTTTGAAATAATGGCTAATGAGCACTTTAAGGATGATTTGTTTTTCCTTTCTGGTTTCAGGTCCTCAAAGCTGCTGCGTGCATTCTACATCCCTTTCCTCTCAGAGCAGTATACGTGGTATGCAAACTATACTATTCTGAAATCCCGGAGGTCGAAGCAAACCAGGAAAAAAATGGGAGGCTAGCAACACACCTGGGCAACAAAACCAAAAGCATCTGCTGACACTCTTGGACAGCTGCCTAAGCCCTCCTAAGCCATCTTCAGTTCCCTTTTTGAAAGATTGTTCTTGTAAGATTCACTAATAAAGATTTTGCAGGAAGTGATTTGCTCTGCAAGCTTCCAGGTGTAAAAAGGGAGTATCATCTGCTTTCACTTCTCAGTGTCAGGTCTCTGCTCTACCTACATAGACCATAATGGTAAGAAACCATTTGAAAATCCAGCAGCCAACCTACAACCCTATTATCCCTGCTGCTCCCTGTGTTACTGTCTATTACACCGGAGAAGAGAAAAGTGGAAAATGAAAAGGAATGACAGTATGAGTTTCTGTTCCAGGTTGCAATCTGGCACTAGGAAAATCCAGCTCAGCCTCTTTCTCCTGCCCTCTGCCCCTCCACTGTCCTCGTCTGCCTAAGTAGTGCTCACTTTCTCCCAAGGCATTTTTTCAGGTAACAAAGTTTAGGTTTTTTGTTTGTTTGTTTTGTTTTCCTTTTTAAGAAAAAGGAAAGGGAAAAGAAGAAAATGCCGGAAAACGCCTGAGACACAATGCACTGAATCTCAAGGAATGGAGTTGCATACAGCACAGAGAAACAGCCTGAAGTTGCTCTGTCCAGGAGACACTTACAAGGATAAACCTGTGCTTTTTGGAGAAAAAAACCCCAAACTTGGGAGTGGAACCAATTACCTGTTTGAATGGGATCGGAGTGTTTTCTGTTATCTGTGAAACCTAAGGCTTTGTTTGATATTTGTAATAATTTTTAAAAGATACCTGTAACATCCTTTGAATTCTGAACTACAGCATCTTAAAATTTCTGGAAACATCAAGAAGAGAGTAGATGGATTTTTTTTTTTTTGTAGTTGTTCTCTTTCCTGGAATAGACTGTCTGCATTATGTTGGTCCAATAAGCTTCAGAGAAATGCTGTATTTATATGTCCATTTTTAAAACATGCAGTATCACAAGCTAGATGGAGGGAGTTGTTTTCACAGACATCCTTGGAACTCTGTGGGGATGGGATGGCATGAGATGGAGCAGAGAGGAAGTTCCTTTTGCAAAAAGGCTGCACAAGCTCCATTCCTCATAGTGACTGTGATTAGATTAGTCTGTGTGTGCAGTGAGAGACTGCCAGAGCAGGTGGATCAGGAAGCAGATTTGTACCTTTGGAAACTGTTGGGATCCAAACACAAAAGCACATGCCTCTGAGGCTACGTGTGTTGGTCCAGATGCAGAATGCAGTGCTAGGCAGATCTCTTGGCAGTGTGCACCTAAACAGCTGAGCAGGGTGGGAAGGACAGGCTGTACCAACGGGGATGTGATCTAATGTGATACTACTGGGACAAAGCTGGATGAGGAGCAAGGCATAGGCATAGGAGAAACTTCAGAAGCATAGGGAGAGGTGTTCTGAATACCCTGCATTTCATGAAGGAGGATTTTTTTTTAATGGCATTGTGCTCTATTGGAAACACAGCTTATCAAGAGCAAACATGGTTAAGAGCAGACAGTGCCCCATTTTGCTGTCTGGATAATTACAGCATGGAGAATGCAGTTCTCTTCCATTGCACCCCCACTCTATGGAGGACAAGTCTGAAGGTGAACCTTTAAATTCAGACTTTGAAAGCTCAAGGAGTCATCTGTGGTGGAAGAAAATTAACTCTGTCCTAGCAAAACCAGGACACTAAGTCTTGGCTCTCTTCAGAGAGAGATGGCTTTCACCCTGTTCAAATACCACCCTTCATAAGAGTCAAATGTGGAACTTCAAGGTTTTCAGTGAAGCAACTGGTGTCTTGGTTGAGTTGGTCTGGAAGGTCAAGAGTCATGTTGCATATCAGCACTGTAGTGTCTATGTTCATAGTATTCCCCTGCCAGCTGTCTCTACCCCTCATAAAAGTTTCCATGTGTTGAACAGGTCTCTACAGTGCCAGTAAATCAAAACTAAAACTTTGGCCCTGCTTGTTGCCTCTCCCCGTGCTAATCCCTGACCTTAAATCAAGTAAAGAAACAAATGCAATCAAAGAACCAATTGCACCTCTCTCCGGTGCTGTTTGTGTAACTGTTCCTTGTTATCATAGCCTGTAACTTCATGTTTAATGTGAAAAGACAGTACAGTAAATACCCATTTTAAATGACTGTGGCTGCTCCACCTTCCTCTCCAGTTTGATTCCTGTTTTGGGGTGGTGGTGGTGGGAGACTGGTACCTTGACAATAATCAGGAGTTATCAATATTTTCCAGAGGAATTTGGCAAATATTTGGTTCCTGGCAGTAAATGCAGGTGTGAATACAGGTAGTGGACAGCTGGGCAGCTTTGCATTCCAGAGTTTCCAGTCAAGTCAGGGACTCCATTTTGGTGCTTACTGAGCAAACAGGTAGACTCAGTCCTGCCACCTGAAGAATTTGCAGGCTAAAGAGATGAGGCAGAGAAAGGGCGAGTTGTTACTCTCACTGATAAGAGTAGATCACGTTTTAATGCTGATTTCAGGGGGAAGTTGGGAGTCTCAGTGCTGCAAAGATCTTGACCCAGCAATTCATTTACGGTCACACATGGAGTCTGCCTACAAGTGTTTTTTTAATCTAGTGTCTTTGGCACAGAACTAGCCTTCCTGGCAGCCAGGGTCTCTTCCTGTAGTAGCTGCTAATGTGTAGTTATTGTCACAGGTAGTGCTACTGGGCATTCAGAATGTAGCATAGAGGCAATCTATCGATCCCAGCTGAGACTACTGGGAGCGAGAAAGTGAAGTTGCTGCTAATGGTGTTTCTATGATAAAGTCTGAGCTATGGGTGATATTTCTGATAGGAGATGCTAAGGCTCCCCTCATCTTTTCATCATTCACAAGTCAGGACTGTTACACTCTGTGCAGTGCTGAGATTAAGTAAAAAGTCATCAATAATGAGGAGATTACTAGTGAATAAACACTAGACTTGATGGAGTGAGCAGTACAAGTCCAAGGAGTATATGCATAAGGGCCTGAGGAAGAGACTGCATGAATTGCCTACCTGGCTTAGCTTTAGCTGGATGAAGTATCTTGCTCTTCGAATGCAGATGTGGATGCAAAGAGCTTTGTGGCAGAAGGTGGAGCTGCATACAAAACAGAACATTTTAAAAGGCATTTTGTAGTTTGCATTTCTGGTTTTGTTCGCAGGCTTGAGAGAGGGGGCTTCTGATTTTATTTTTCTTTTCTTTTTGCTTTGACCCTAATTAAAGCAAATGTATGATCTCATTTTGAGGAGGCAGGTTTGGAACAGCTAATTCGTGATCTCTATTAAAAAATTTAAAAAGTCTTGTGGTTTGTGAGCTGGTGGGTAAAGGGTCAAACCACAAATGGCTGATCTGCCTCAGCTAGATTCCCTACCTAGAGTTGCCTCAGGCAGAGAGGGGTGTTGTGACCAAACCTGTTGGGTAGCTATCAGGATTGTGTAGGCAATCCACCTTTGTCTCCTTTTTGTCTTTGGAGAAAGGGCTCTTCGTATTATTCTGGCTGGTTCTGGAAAAGAAGGTATCTAGATGGCTTTCTACAGTGCTCCTAGTGTCTGACCTGACACACTGACAAAAGCTGGTTTCTTGACAGAACCACAGATGGGGAAAACCTTGTGGTCATGACTGTGGCTAGATCAGGTGTCTCTCATGAAGCTGAGAGATGATGCAAGACACTTGCAGTTGGCTGGAGAATGCAAGGGCTTTACGGTACTCCTAACCTTCTCTTTGTTGGCAGTATTTCTCCACCTTTAAATTGAGGCTGAGAGCACTGCAGGTTGGACAAATGCTGCTGTGAAATACTGGGGCTCAGTAAATTTCATCTTGCCTGAGCTCATCCAGTCTTTGCAACGAGGAGCTCTGAGGTGGAGAGTCTTGAGGAAGTGCCAGCAATGAGACAGATTGACACTCTCAGAAATAGTCTGAGGGACGTCATGATTTCCACAGAACTATTTTTTCCTCCTTGACTGCTGCAGCAAGATTTAAGGTCCATTTCAGTTTTGCTCCTGCTTTTTCTGCCTGTTCCTGGGGTTCAGCTGCAACCTGCTCCAAAGGCAGGTGTATGTGTAACCGTAACCTGGTCATCTCCACCTAGGGCTCTGCCTGATCTGGGGGCACGTCAGAAGAGAGCACTCTTGGACTCGAACTTATTTCCAAGGATGTTCAATGCAAGTTTGCTCTTCTTTGAAAGGAAAACAAAAAGGACACTGCATCTCCACAGAGGTGACACTTAAGTTTTCCTTGACTCGGGGCTTTTCCTGTTCAAAGCTTTTTGTCTTCTTTCTGTAGGAAAATTATTGGAAATAATGTACTTTCTTAGAAGCCAGGATCTGAGAGCGTGTGTGAAGAAGTAGGGGCAAAGGAGTTGAGCTATGTGGAGCTAGGTACCTCGGATGTGAACAACTGAATAAAATGTTGAGGGCTGCATGTAGGCTAGGAAGGCTTCAGGCTTGCTTAGCTGGGAATGCCACAGGCCAGCTTTCAGGTGTGACTGGCAGATCTTCGCGGGAGCTAGTTGTCCTAGGACAGATTTGTGGCATCTTGGCAGCTGGTCTGTCATATTAAGAGCGCAGGTGCCATTTGACAACTCTTCTCTCCATAGGAATGGGGAAGCACTCCCACTTGCCATGTTGCATTGCCAACATACAGGAGATTTCTATAAAGCACGGTGAGGAGATGTTATTTCCAAAGCAGACTGTGCATTCTCTGAGTGATACTGAAGGGACCGGACCAAAGTTTGGGACGGTGATGGTCAGTGTCAAATAACAACTGTTGTTTCCTCTTCCCTTTTCTGCTGCCTTGTCACTATTGAGCCTAAGTCTTCGACAGTTCTTAGTCGTGGCCTTACTGGTAACAGTTCTTTCCTTGCTACTTCTACTAACCTCAGTAGTGGGGACTGTCTTAGTATTTGAGTCCACCTCACATCCACCAAAAGATACCGAGTGTTCTGTGTTTTGTTTTGTTTGTTGCTGTAAGAAGGGCTCAAAGTAGCAGTGGAGAGAGGCCCTGATAATAAAATTCTGTGGGTTTGAGTTCCTAGCTCTCCAGGCACTGCTGGAGGAAACGGCAGTGAATTTTTTTCTGCTCCAGCATCTGTCAGAACCTGAGCATCATCCCAGCCCTGCTGAGATTCAGTGCATGTCCCTGTGA